GGCGGGAATTTTGCGACTGCTCTTGCTTCTATATCATACACTGGTAAGTATCAATTCTCGGGGGTGAAATGGGAAAAGGTCTAATAGGCGAAACATGTATATTTAGAGTCTTGGTCTTTTAGTGTGTCAAAAGGGATAATCTAAAAACAAAAACAGGTTCACATGTAGCATGAAGAAAGGGGAATATCTCAACTTATAATTAAGATGTTCCGTGTTCCGCTGTTGTACAGGGGTGAACATTCCTTAGTAAGTTTTCAAGTACTAGGTAGCACTGAGTTAAGTTTTAATTTCGTTAATTCATAAATTTATGAAGATGGGCGAGTTCTTTCCTATTCTTGCCTTTATGTGTGTTTTATTGAAACATTCCGTATTCCGTACATTTCACTGGAATATTCAAAATTCCTAAAATTTTGAAGTAAGCGATATTCAATATTCCCCTTCCACTCCCGCATCTCTTCCACGCCAACCGTCCATTTTCAAGGGCTTGATAATAACTACAACAAAAGGAGAGTTAAAAAAGTTTCAGATTCTCCCTTTCTTGAGTAGATCTAACTCCAGCCATTTGAAATGCACATATGGGGGAGTAATTTTTGTCTCACAATTTTGAACCCCTTTTTTAATATTGACTCTCTTTTCGAGCTGATTGAAACTACTGGATTAAAACTACAGTCGCCATTGTAGAGAAGAGTTGTGTAAAGACAAATTTAACACCGTCGTCAAAAAATAGGTGAAATMACTTGCTAAAAGTTGTTTCACCTCTWTTTTTRCGAAGTTAAATTTATCTTTTTACACAACTGTTTCTTTAGAAACACCGACGCAGCCGCTCACRCTAGTTAACCGCTAGTTCCCACCATTGTAGAGTAGATATAAGTCTCTTTAAAGCCGAGTTACTCCATAGGCCAGTTAAAGTCCGGAACATTACCAATTTTGGTAATATAATTTCCATCACAAAATGGCGGCCAAAGCTTTTTCCGAACCCTTTCCTTTTTAGCCCCTAATACTCAAATAAAGGTCCAATCCCATGAACCTTTGCCCGTCAAGGCTTTCTAGTATAACAAACGAAGCCATAGCTGCGAAGTATTGCATAAGACACGTGCAAGTTTTCAAAATATTCGAGTTTTTATTCTGCTTCTTTGTGATTTTTCGACTAGTTTCACATACTAAAACGAATTTTAAAGTATCTTTGCCCCCGTAGTTGGCAATTTGGCCCACCTAGAGGCAATTTAGAGTGGTTTTACTGTCTATTACAGTTTGTTTCGAGTTGAGGCATAACGGAGCTTTTTGAGGCATCCTCTTTAGAGTTGTAAAAGCTATTTATCGAAAGGAGCGATGGAGGAGCATCGGAGATTCCTCGATAAAAGATGTTGTATCTGTAGTGTTTCCTTGATAG